AATTGTTTAGATATTATGGACCTAAATGAGCAGTTCAGCATATAATGTATGTGCACTGTTACCTACCAGCACAGGAGCCTCCTGTGACAGCCTCTGCCCAATGGAGCCACCTGCTAGTGCCAGCACTCCGTCACTATTTTCCATGGGCTGAAAGTGTCTGTAAGGCTGTGAGTTCCCTCTGCTAATTCAGAGATCTGGCGAGTACAGTGTCCTTTGCAGCTGCCTCAGCAACTGTCCTGTGGCTCTTGATCGCCCTGTGCTAAACCCTCCTGTGCGTGTGGAGCCCTCGGCACTCGGTGCCACTGAGGTGCAGAAGTGAGTTTGACTCCAGAACAGTGACAGGTTTCAAATGCAATGAGTAAGGTTTTAGCTAAGTAATCTTTGTAAATAAGAAACATTTATGCTGCAGGCTATTCCTGGAGAGGTTGGGAAGGAACTTTGCTTGTTGGCAAAAAAGCTCAGAGGCAGGTCAGAGGCACAGAGGTCTGATACCTCTTCATTACCCTGCTTACCTAAATCCAGGGAGCCTGTTACACTCTACATCTTTACTCTACATAAAGCCCCATTCCTTATTCCCACATTCAGAATTGCCCGGGACATGTACTCTTAGTTCCTCTTTGGAGAAAAAATTGTAGCTATAGAATCTCTTGTCTTCTGGATAAAATCTGTATTTCCTGAGATTAAGGGCCTTGTGCTTAACATTTGGATGGTGTAGGACTTGTAAGACCATCCTACCTTAGTTTTTGAGGTGAGATCTCACCTTTGAACAGTTGCACAGTTAAAATATATGACTGACCTTAACATGTGGTTCTCATGCAAGATCACCAGATGAACACAGGACGGTACAATGGCTTGACAGAAACTTTACCTTTTGAATTTCCTAGGGCTGTAGCCTCAGAGCTGAACGTCAAACGTAGTCCCATGTTTGATCATCACTGAGTGCTTTAGAAGTATTTGCAAGACTGCCAGCAAAAGGGTCAACCTGACAGAAATTACAGCACAAAGCAATTAATGCATATTATTCAATGACACTGAGTTCTGATGTGGTTTTCGTGGATTCCCAGGCAAGGCTGATGCATATTTGCACAGGAAACTCTAGACCAATTAACTTGAGAGAGCCTTGGGAGGGGGTGCTATGGTCATGTACAGTGGAGATGAGGGATATCTAGCTCTTATGCTCATACAGCAGTGATGAGTCTGGGCTACATGAAGATCAGAAGCTTATACAGCAATATTACAGAGGCAGAATGCTGTTGGCACATTCATTTCTGGCAGGAAGCTTCTGAGAGGCTATATTACTCAAGGGATGGGAGGTGGAAACTAACACCACCAGAGCCAGACCTCCATCCAGGTTTCAGACTGGCTTAGTGCATTCTCAGAGCCCAGCCTGTCTGTGTGTCAGCCCTTGTGTTCCAGGTAGCAAAGAAAAAAAAAAAGGTTCTAAATGCTTTCTTCTTCACATTTGTTCCCATGAGAGTATTGTGGATCCATTGGGCTGGCCTGGCTTTAGGAGGAGCTGCTGTTGGTGCCTTTGTTTGGGACACACCGAGGCCACTCGGGAAGGTTAACGTGCTGCCGGGACACTGGTGTGTGCCAGGAGGCAAAGGCTGGTACCTCTGAGCGTCTCACGGGCAGAACTGCCATCATGCGGCCAAATGGGCATGGAGTGCAACCTCGAGAGGGAAAACACCAGTGGCGGTGAGAAGCAGGGTGTGCCGAGACACGTGTCGACACCAACAGCCAAGTCCCAGGCTTTAGACTAAGTCAGGAAGCAAACCAGTCTTTTCAAGTTGAAATGCAATGTTATAAATACCAAACTCGTTCAGTTACAGCAATCCGATAGGAGAAAAGGAAACGTACTCTAATGCTGATTCTCCATCTGTTTTTAGCTTCAGGCACAAGCCTGTGCTGGGATTTGTGTTTGCTCTGCAGACACCTCAGCTTGTGCTGGAGCGAGTTAGCAGGGCAAACCTACGTTCGTTGCTGTTGGCCTGGCCCGGGCTCGTGCACTGCACCTTCCCACAGCGAGAAGCACTTCTCAGGCCAGCTCCTTCCACGGCGGCCCTGGGCCTGTCCTTGTCACAACGCTGTTGGGGACACAGCCTCAATGTCATTGCTAAAGCCACCACTGAACTACTGTCCCAGAAGAAGGATCCCAGTTCATGGCTCCTTGGTGTTTCTGTAGGTTAATCGCCTATTCCATATGGAAAAATGTAGCAGGAGGAGAGAGAAAAGCAAGAGCTTGGAGAGGAACAGGAGACACCAATTTGAGGGGGGTGAGGAAAGGGAGGGTTGTAGAAAGAAAAAGGGAGAAAAAGATACCTCAAGAAACAGGGGAAACTCAGATGGGACCACAGGAGCGGAGGCAATGAGCACCATGGCCACCTAAGTCCAGTTATCTTCCCCATTCCTTAAGTCAAAAGCTCGTTACTATGGCCTCTAAAAGTCAGCTATTTTTCCAGACATGCGAGCATCTAGCTCTTTGTCATAACTACAAAATGTAGTACTTTGTCCAGTTGTCTTGATGCACCACACCAGGGTTTTTTAAATAACTAGACATAGTATGGTTTCCTTGCCCAAAGGACAGGCTGGGAGAGTTTGCCCCATAGAGACGCTGTCAAATGTGGCAGGGAGCCTGTATGGAAACACAAAGAAAAGCGTTGCGGCAGAGCCGAGCGGTGAGGCTGGGAACGACCTGGGTCGGGGCCAGCACAATAGTCAGTTGGATCTAAGAGCTCAAGGGTGTGGCTGGGGTTTTCCATGGGACTGCATTGTTGCACACAGGCTTTGGAAACCATAGATAGCCCTGGATAAATGGTCTCTGGTGAGTATTAAGCTAGTGTGACTGGACTGCTTTCAAGAGTTGTGTTTAAGAACATCCTGATGGTGCGTATGCTATTTGCAGAGGAGCTGAGTCAGGAGTGCATCCCCTGCAAAACTGGTACATCTCCTCCCATAGGAATTAATATTAAAACCAGTACTTCTTTTAGTTTAACTAAGTTTCCTTTTGAAGTAGCAGAATCTGTAATTCTGAAGAGTTTCAGCTTTAGGAGAACGGTAACAGAGTGAAAACATTGGGGACTGTGCACCAGGTTCTCATTTCAACCCTCTCAACTGCAAGAAAAATTTCATTCCAAAAAATGACCGAAACAGCTTACCAGTACACGGCAAGGGTAATCCAGAAAAACTGTGATAATGAAAAGTGTCTCCACCTTGTGATTTCATGTTTTATGCCTCCACTAAAAAAAAGTAACAATACTTCTTTAAGAGGTTTCACTTGTAAAGAACAGTCTGATACTGTAACAGGATTTCAAGGCCATCAACACAGAAAAACATCTGCAGTGATGGACGTACAGGACTTCATCTGAAAATGTACCTAGACTTGTCCTTCAGAGGGTGAGTAACAGAGCCTGGGGTTCCAGTGCATGTTCCAGTGTACAGGGCAAACACGTAGGTGTAACGCTCAGAATGGGATGGCTCTTCTTTGCACAGCAAAAATTAGAGGCACTTTCTGAGTGCTATAGGTGTTACACAACACAGCCACTCAACTGTTCTGCTTTAAAAATGCCCTGGAGTGAATTAATGCCCATAATCAACTCAAGCATCTCTGTCGACATCATGAATCATTAAAAACCTCATTTGCAAACCCAAAAAGAAAAACTGTTCTCAAAATTAAGTAGAACTCCCTAGCTAGATACTTAAATGAGATAAAAGCAGCGGGGCTCTGGCTGATGGATGGTTCCCTTTTAACATCATCAGGAGTGACTATTTGTTCAGGAGACAGTCTTTGATCTTACCTCCAATTTTTAAATATGGCAGAAATAAGCAATCTCCCAAAGACGACAGATTTCACAGAGACGTCCTGGCTCACAGCACAGCCTTCCATGTTCCATTTAGTATTATGCTACTGCATTTTCAAACTGCTTGGATGTTACTTTAGTGCAATTAAACTAATTCCAGGATTGAAAAATGGCAGTTTGAGGGTTGCTAGTCATGAGGTGCAGAGAGGGAATTTCTAAAGCATTTACCAATTTCCTGCTGTGTTTTGGGTGATGTGTATGTATGACTTTGCTTACCCAGAGATCAAAGGATCAGCCCTCTGTAGAATCCACGGTACAACAGCAGCAAGTCATTTCAACGTATAAGGTGCTGTGTGCATTAGCTGGTATTTTTTCATTTTTAAAAGACTTCACAATGGAAGACAAGTAATTCACAGGAGTTTTAGAGACTTTATTTATGTATAAACAATTTAAACACTTTGCCATAAATTATCTTTGCCTGTCTCTAGTCTTTGCTTAGCAGCAAATTAAAATTAATATAAAAACTCAATGAACAATTCATACATGTATATTACAAAAAAGTTCTTGTACCAAAGTTCTTATTAGACTTTTTTTTTTCTTTTTTTTTTTTCTTGTGGTGACTGTAATGTGATTGTCTCAGTTTCTCGACCAAACAAACACACTAATAATTTTTAAATCTGAAACAGTGATTGTGCCTTCTGGCTGATGTATGTACAGGGTGATCTGACGTGGTGCCCATTTGCAATAGTGTAACACAATGCCCACAGCTCTACTGGAACTGATACCAACAAACTACTGAATCTAAACAGACTACACCCTGTAACTGTGTTATACTGTCCACAATGGAAATCTTCAAAGACAAACAGAGTATGAAATTTATTTGTGGTGATTTATAGCCACCATTTTGAATGTAACTTTACACTCTGCCCTCTTTGAATAAGTTAAGCTTCAGGCCAGACAAGTGGAGGGTCAGAGTGCAAGTGTGGTTTTGTTACTTTTAAATATAATTTTCTTTACTATTTCCAGTGCGCTCTCACTTGCATTCTCATTGTCCTCCAGTTGCTACACACAAATCACCCCAAAGTCATGTTTTAAATGCACCTGTATTTTGCTTTAAATGAAAACCTCTTGGATATTTATCAAACAAGCAGTCTGAATCATCTGTGTTTCATCAGCTGGTTAGTGAAAGTGGCCCACTTGGATTTCTTAGTTTGCTCACGTGTGAATGGAGTGAGGTAATACAATACGAGGCCTTCTTTTTGTTTTTCTTTAGACCCAGAACAAGTGGGTAATATTTCAGGGGTACTTTTTAATTTGTATGGTTAGAGTTTTCAGTCTGGCTTTAGTCCACTTCAGGATGTGGTTTTTAATCACTTGAACAGTAGCATTTAACTCAAAAAATATGAGCTTTTTTGCCACTTACTATCCCAAAGTAGCTCAGCCTAGTGCCCCCATTTAGGTCTTCATCTCCTTAGGAGAGGAGATAACAGTTATGACTACTGATTCATCCAGCAAAGGATGACAGCAGGTTAATTTGTTACCTCTTTCCCATTTCATTCTGTCTTAAAAACTGGATGTTGCTGCTACTGTCTGCTAGCTCTGGGTACTGCTCCACGGGCAGGACATAATATCCCTCGTAACCTTGAACCCTTCCCGTGTTCAGAAGCTGCTGCTTCTCTCCGTCTGTCCATACGCGGCTGCCCTCTCGGCCATCCCGTGCCTTCTGCTGCTCTTTGGCCCAGGCTGATCCCAGGGCTCGCTGCCGAGCCTGGTCTAACACTCTCGCCTTTTCCTCGTCCAGCGTGTCGGGGGTCAGTCCGTAGCGGATGTTGATCAGCAGGGTGGAATACTGAAACTCAACATTCGTAAACCTTCGAGTCCTCCCGTTGACGAGGAGAGTGGGCTGGGAGACGGTGACGTTGACTCCGCTCTCCAGGACCTTCCGCCCGCTGGTCATTGCGAGGGTGACAAGGTCGCCGTCGGCCGAGCCTATCTTCACGAAGTAATGGGTGTCCTTCCCCTCGATGCTGTAGTGCATTTTTTCCAGGTAGTGAGCACTGTTCAGGACAGAGGCAATCTTTCTGCTATCGTCTGTGGCTATGCTGGAAATGCCAGTGGTTACACGGCCTTCCTTCACAGCAAACATGATTCCTTTCCCAATGATAGGAGTGGTTGTTGCGAACCAGTGACCTGCTTTTTCTCTAATACTGGCATGTAATCTTTTAGATATGACCTGTCCCTCAAGAGCCATGAAAGCTTGGTTGTGTCTTTCTGTCGTCTGCTGAACTCCTGTAATTAGCTGGGGAAAACAAAACAGAACAAAAAAACACCAAGGAAGATATAGATCTGAAAACACTCATTTCAGAGACCAATACTAATCTTTGCTTTGCATTTTTAAAGGAAAGCCATGCGGTGGAAAATTCTACACTATGGGAAGACCACCCTCAGTTACCCAGCCCTATACATGTGCCATTCAGAATCAGGTAAATACTCATTTGCCAAATTATTTTGCTATCAGTAATAGCAAATAAAATACTTCTCATTAATCACCCTTTGTAGCATATACATAGCACAAATCTTAATTTTGGCAAATTGTATGATGTCCGTTACAAGAATAAGTAAGACCCAAGTCTACCACAATTTTAATCAGAGCTTAAACCAAACAGAATCAGTTTATTAAAAGATGGCACTTAACTTCTGGACACACTTGCCCAGAGATTTCAACCTCTATGTATGACTAACGTGCTTATGAAGGTAAGCCTTTTGGAAAGTAGTTGAGATTTGGGCTCCAAAATACCAAAGCAATTCCCGAAGAGGGGATTTAGATTTTCAAACAACTTAGAAGCCTGTGAAAGTAGTATGTTTAGATGTATATGACCATTTTGGTTGTCTTACCACAAATGTTGAAGTAAGCCTAACATAGACTTAGCTTGAAATTGGCCTAGTGCTCTAAGTTTATTAAGTGGGTTGGAATTTATTATAAAGGTTGAATGCATGTACCATTTTCCACCTTAACCTGAAAAATAAGTACGAATGCTGTAACTGAAAGTTAACTGTAGTAGCAAACCAAAGCCTCTGCGAAAAACGTCAGATAAAAAATGATGAGAAATCCTATTACAGGGTGAGAAGTAGAACCATTTCTTAGCAGTACAGCAAGTACCAACCTAAGTTTATTGCTACACGTGTTATTAGGATGGTTTTACCAAAGGTAAATGATGATAAATTACCCTGACAAAGTCTCCCTTTGTCATTGCTAATCAAGTTAATCGAGTTACAACTTGTTAATCAAGGAAGAACTCAATAAAAGACAAACTAATGACACTGTAATTATGATAACAACGAAGGCTGGCAAGAAAGGCATATGTTCATTAGTATAAAATCTAGCTATACTCACTTCATTTTACACTGAAATAAATTCTTGGCCTTCTGCTGTATCTACAGAAGAGCCAGCAGTTCTATTCATAGAGTGGGGCAAATTTATCAAGAAAAATAACTTCATGTTTCTGCCTACCTGTCCATTTTCACACGCTTGACTCTCAGACAACTCGTATGGCGGTGACACAAAGTACATTTTTGCTCTAGGGAAACCAGGAATAATGTTGCTAAGCTGAAATCCAAACATCACCAACCAGCTTTTGACATCTAAAAATCAAAAGTAAGCAAGTGAGAAATAAATGTGTGTAATAAATACAAGAAATCAAAAAAATTAGGAAATCCATCCTTGACCCCCTTAATTTCATGTAGCAGTGGAACTCATAATTTATATTCTGGCGTGGCACTTAACAGAATTGTAGTAATCCACCATGAACAGGCACAGGAAATATTGCTTTAAATTTACCCTAAATAGTTCATCAGGGATATGGCACCTCTTTCATTCTTTTTCCATTTTAGCACATGGATTATCCAAACGTTTTATTGCATGCAATACTTGTTCCATCTCTGACACCTTCTGATGAGGCTACTGTAACCTATAAACTGTATTGTAAAATGATGTTTTATTAGGTTAGTACTCCTACAAACATCTGCAAAGTCCTGTGGGAAAATACATGGCTTCTCTTCTGTGTCCTACTTCTGTTAGCTGTCATCAGGTCTCGGGAGACTCCATTAAACACAGTGAGAAGCTAGACTTGTAATTCAGATGTCTAAATTTAGGTACCATGAATAACCTCCCCATCCCTCCAGGCCCGGTACGGAAAAGTAGGAGCTGCATGGGAGGGTTACAGCTCAGCTCCGGGGAGAGCTTCAGGAAGTTCCAGCTCTGGGTTCGACCAGTAAAACTCTGTCTTCATATCTAGTTGAAAAAGCTAAGTAATTAAATTAGTAACAGTAATTCTCACTCAGCAGGTATTAAGAACTAACGATGCATTTTAGTTATCAAAATGATGTTTTGAACTAAAAAAAAAAAAAAGCCCGTGACCCCGTTTTACATTTCTGTTTCCTGCTTCTGTTTCTGGCAACAGCAGCAGTGTGGGAGCATGGGCACTTCTCATTTGATTTGGACCTATGTTTGTGACCATTTTTGTTTAAAAATCTCTCCTGTCTTCCCCAGTGGCCTTCTTTCCTTGCTGGCCTACGATGGCTCCTGATGCCACTATTGCCACTTCTTCACGCGAGCCAAACTCCGTGTTTGAAAAGAGACAAGACTGTGGCAAGGCGCTCTCCACGCAAGGGTCGCTGGCTGAATTTAGACGACTCCGGGCACGGTGTCTGCAGCAGGTAGGTACACCACAGGCTCGGCGCGCTGCCCACCGGCACGCAGAGCGCCTGCAGAGCACCCGCCTGGACATACAGACCTCTGGGACACGCTCAGCCACAACATGGCACCTGCGTGCTATTCCAAAGTGTTTTCCCAAAATTTTTACCAGAGATAACGTTACATCGTAAAAAGTTAACACTTGTTGGTTGTGGACATCTGACAGCAAAAGTCTTCTTTTCTTAGTCATTCTGACACTAAAACAAGTAGTAAAATACTCTGCTTCTACAAAGATATTTGTGTTTATCTCCCATCACACAGTGCCTACTGTATTTTTCCTCTACCTTTGGACAGCACAGAGTTACTGCGTCTTTTTAAGGCTTCAATTTATTTTATGGTATAATGGTATCTCTGGAACAATTCCCTTCAGCTGCCATAATTCCGCAATAAAAGAGGAGGACCTGTATACAAAGCAGTTACTATTTTGCTTAGGCAATGTGCTTTGCAGCACTGCATTTGCTACAGGAATTCCTTTTCAGCAAAAACTGTGAATAAAGCAGTGTCAGGGCTAACAGTAAGAATGGATTGGGGTGGGGAAGTATTTTGCTTGTTCGTTTTCTGTTTGTTTGTTGTTTTTTTTAGAAACGATGACAATCAAGGTGCCACCATAATGACTTCTTGTGCAAGATAATCTGTTTAGTTCATACAGCAACAAATATTTTCATCACCAATGAAGTATTTTTACAGACTAAAAGGTGTGTGTTATAGCAAAATGCAACATATCTTCCTAGATGTCATGGAAGTCTTCCTAGATGTCTTCCAGTGCATGGATAAATTAAATGAATGCAATTTCAGAACATAGCAAAACATTGTAAGATGACACTGAAAATCTAAATCAAACCGTGGTGGATGAAAATAGGAATTTTGTTGAATTTAGGACAACAGAATTTGATCCCAAGGTAATTTTTGTCACCAATGTTTTCACACTATCAGATACAAATCGCATTATCTTCAAATTGCAAAGTAGCTACAGTAGAACCTGTGGTGTGTTACACATACGATTAGGTCTCAACCTACTAATGAAATTTGCTATGATTTTCTTTGAAGGAAATGCACTCTTTTCTTGAAATTCAAATTACTGCTAAAATTAAGATAGCTCCTTTTAAAAAATGGTATCACTGCTCTAATTATTGTATACTACATATTCAGTTCTGAAAAAAGCTTTTCCTGAAGACATATTAATTACCTTTCCTTTTAGAAATTGCCAGCAGCTTGTTCAAGTACTGTGTGATCTTACTAAATGAAAAATTATTACTAATTAAGAAGAGGTTACAAGTTTTATCCAATTCTAACACACACGATCAAAACTACTTCACTGTTTTCCTTACTCAGCTCTACACATTCCGTAAAATTTCTTAGTCTTTCAGGAGAAAATAAATTTTTAAAACATCAAGATTTTTGTTTTAAAGGCTAAAGACTGTTTGCATATTAAAAGTTAAATGGAAAAAAGAGGTTTAATTAAATCCATTCATAGTGCTCATTCATAATGTGCCCATGGGCTTAGTCAGCAGTAAATTTTGAAAGTAGCCCTGTAGGGAAGAGATGCTGAGCAGTTCTGGTTCCCGATTCTGCAACTAACCTGCCAGTGACTCTTGTAGTTAACTTCACTTTTCTTGATATAAAATTAGAGTGAACACATTTTCATACAGTACTAGTTCAATAGAAAGAGCACTATGACTGTCCTGAAATTGAATATTTAGGCAATTTTTTTAATTTCTTTTTTTTTCCCCCCACTCTCCATAATTCATTGTGGCTTCTCATTTATTGCCCTTCATTGAGGAAGGAGCAGTATCAAGGAATCAGGACTAACCAGCCCTTTTCATTGCACAAAAAGGAAAATGGCCCAACCTTGATGAGAGGATTCAGCAATTGGCTAGTAAGAAGTCTCATTTCTTTCCCAAATCAACTTCCTGAATGTAGTGTTATTTATAAGAAACGTAATGATATCTCACCTGTTACATAATTCTTTAGATCCAGTTCATTGCTGAGAGGGTTGTTACTCTTGAACATGTACAGATTGAAAGGAGCAGGTTCTTTACCGATGTTTTTCCACATGGTGTAATCAGGAGACGTCCAGCGTCCAGCTAGGACATCATAGTCCCTTTGGGTAAAATGGACGAGTTTGGTTAAAGGATCATACAGCCCTCCATGGAACCCAATAACCAGCTGAAAATCAGGGTTAGAGTCGTAATAAATCTCCCCATATGCTGTGTACTGAAGTTGTTTGATCATGAGGCCGTTGATGCTGAATACGGCTAATGGAGTGCCTGTGTTATCAGAGGCGACGTAATATTCTTCCCCGCTGCTACTCTCCATCGCGAAGAGGTGGCCTTGCAGATCATAGTACAAAGAGGTAATTTCTGAATTGGAATGATTGTAGACGTGAGTTACCCTTGTTGGATTGTGAAGATCAGCATAAAAGTACTGTAGGTGATGCCCTAGGTTAGTCTTACAAGAAGCCCTTCGGCCAAGTCCATCGTAACGGTATTGAACGCTCCACCCATTTGCTTTGTTGTAAGCTCTTGTTAGGAGTCCTTTGGAGTTGTACTCAAATATATCTGAGCCTCGCTGACACAGGAATCCATCATCATCAATTTTGTATGGTATGTCACCCAAGCGCGTAATCCTGTCTCTTAGGTCATAGCGCAGAGGCATCAATCGGACGCTGTTTCCAGGATTCAGGAGATGAAGGTTTCCATTCAGATCATAACTGTAACGCCAGGTTGGCCTGTCATTTACTGCTACGCTTTGCAGTTGCCCATCTCCATCATAATCATAGGTATACTTCGTTGTGTTTGCATATGGACCAAGTTTCAGTTCTCTCTTAGTTACCCTTCCCATGCTGTCGTATTGCACAGTCATCCAGTACATCAGGGATCTGAACATTTCATATTGGACTTCTTTAATGCGTCCATGGGTATCAAAGTGCTTACTCAGCGTCATGACTGCTGTGGTAATAATTTGATTTATATCATAATAAATAACTCCGAATTTGCCAAAATGTTCTACTTTGCCAGAAATCTCATCGTAACGGTAAAGATCAACTGGAAGAGGCGTCTCACTTATTATGGGTTTGATGCTTGCAATGCGAAAACTATTATCATGATATGTATAATCGAACCTTGCATTGACCATACCTTCCTCAGAGAATCTATAGATTTGTTTGTCAACGAGAGGACCAATTTTACGATAGCGGATTGTACAAGAAAATCCTCCACTTTGCAAATTCACCATTTTTAGCACACCTGTAGTTTCATCATATCCAAAAGTAACTGCAGTGCTGTCATAAACAATTTCAGATAGTTTGGATAGCTTTCCATACTTGTAGAAGACTTGTCGGCCAGTACCTAAGAATGCTGTTTTCAAAATCCTCCCATCATCACTGTAATCAAAAATCACTGATGCATTACTTTCAGGAGGATTATAAATATTTCTGATGTAGCCAACAGAGGTGTGAGTTGACATGCTGTGCCGAGCAACGCTAGGCATGGTAACAGCATGAAGACGGTCTGAAGAATCATACTCGAAGATGTACTGTCGTTGAC